ATCTCCCACCCAGGTCCATCCCTAGGATCTCAAGGTTTTCCCATTGCCTTGATAAAGATGTCTGGGTGAAAGCAATCCCAGGTGGCTACCGTCACCTCCCAACCCCTCGAAGCAGGCTCTGGGAGGCCTCCAGCAATGATGCCCCACATCAGGGCTGCAAGAGGTTCTGTCGAGCCTTCATCCCTGCTTCTGCTGTTGGAGGAGTTTCCCTACTCCCCCTCTAGAGATTTGCTCAGGGTACGATCACTGGAACCGCTCCGCAGCCTCGGCGTACCAGGACTGTAGCCGTTTTTGCCAGTTTTGGAAAGGAGCGGAGGGCTTAGTTAAATATTTGGATGGGCTGTCCTTCTGAGATTTTATTATTTTGCAGCACCCTCTGAGGTGTGGGATTTTAGCCATATTTCTTCAAGGACTCTGAGCTCACTTTCCAATCTCCTCCCTTGTCCTCGTAGTCCTGTCAAACCCGCTGCCCGTGCAGCTGGCAAGCTTTCCTTCCCGATGCTAACGCTCCTGCATCCTGCCTGTGAGCAATGTTCCCATGAGCATGAACCCACCACACACAGCCTCCGTCAAGACCTTGACCCCACAGAGAACCCCATCCTAGAGCTCGATCCCACAGACATCCCCAGCTGAGGATGTCTCCTGCTCTGCCACAGAGACCTGTCCCCCGCCGCCAGCCCGGGTTTCTATAGACCCTGTGATCCAGCTGGTGTCCTGATGTCCCATGGTCTCCCATGGGGTTTCCATGCAGTGGGCAGCAGACACGTGTCTTGTCTTCTACCCCCTACTCCATGCTTAGGGTGGCCACCCCTTAGGGTGGCAGCGGCCCCCCAAGCCTGCCCAGCCGCCATCCCCAGCATCCTTGCAGCACCATGGTCTCCCCCGAGAAAAGCATCCCCCAGCGAGAAGAGGGCTGCTCAGGAGATGCGCTGTCTCACCCACAGGTTCCTCTTCATTCTGCTGGGTCCCCGAGCTGAAGTGAAAGCCTACCACGAGGTTGGCAGGGCCATGGCCACGCTGCTGACAGATGAGGTGAGCCTGGTGCAGCACCCATGGGTGGGATGGGCCTGGGATGAAGCCTAGGCTGAGGACACTGGGGCTCCTCTCCTCTGCAGGCTGCAGCAGGGGAGGCAGAGGATGGGGCGAGCTGGTGGCCTCCCTTGCCCAGGATAAGGAAACAAAGGTTTGGGTCTGTAGGATGTAGGTGCACCCGTTGCACTGAAGTGGATGGGTGCCTTTCTCGGTGATGGCTGCAGGCTGGGAGGAAGGCTCCGAGTGGCTGAACGCAGGGACATGGTGGCTAAACCAAGACATCTCCCCACAGCTCTTCCAAAGGGTTGCCCGGCAGGCTGAGCACCGAGAGGACCTCATCGCAGGGATGGAGGCGTTCCTGGATGAGCTGACTGTGCTTCCTCCCGGGAAATGGGACCCCAGTGCCCGAATTCCTCCTCCGAGCTGTCTGCCATCTCCGCACAGGAGGTAGGCTGGAGGGAGGGCACCCACAGCCTGTGCCAGCCCCTCTGCAGGGTCCCAGGTGGACACCTCTGCCTGTGACATTGAAATCTCCATCTCCATGGGGATGAAGCCACCCAGAAGCCAACCTTTGCCAGTGAGGTCCTCCCAGCCTTCCCTCTGCAGCTCCTGCTGATGACCACAACTCTGGTCCCCGCTGCTGTTAGTCCTGCTGTCCCTCTTGGCAGGGGATGGCAAAACCGCCCTGCATGCCCTCAGGCAGGAGCTGCTGGGAACGCCGGGTTTCAGCACTTGGATGTGAAACTCGTCCTCCGAGCAGGACACCTCCAGCTCTGCCCAGCTCCTCCACCAAAACTGGTCCTGCTAGGGCTGGCTCCACGGCTTGCTGGAGGAGATCATGGCTGGGTTGGAAGGGACCTTTGAAGATCATCTAGTCCAACACCCCCATCTCTCCTCCTCCTCCTGATTTTTCTCCTCCTCCTCATTATCAGGGGATACACGAGGTCCCCTCAGCCCTGCTTGCACCCCTGTCCCCTCTCCATCCTCCCTGTCCCCTCATAGCATTCCCTAGACACAGCCGGGTCCTGAGGGCTCCAACCTGAAGCCTGTCGTCTCGGGCTCGGGTCTGCCATAGGACCGCCATGTACCCGCCGGATCGGCAGTCCCACGGCAATGAGGACATGGCAGCAGCTGGGGACAGAGCTGGCCTGGAGCACCCGTGCTCCAGGGAGGAGCTGGAAAGGACGGGCAGGTGGGTGCCTGGAAGGACAAGAGTGGTGGGAGGTGCAGCGGGATGCCAAATTCAGGGCAGGGCGCTGGATCTCCCCAGCACAAGGGGCCACTACGTCCAAACCACTCTGGGCTGGTGTCTCCTGGGGAAGGGACCGTCCCCTGCCTTGCAGCTCTCTCAGGGGTGATGGCCGGCTGGGGGGGCTGCTCTGAGATCTCCATCTGCTGCCCCAGGCTTTTCGGGGGGCTGCTGCGAGACATCCGGAGGAAGGCGCCATGGTACGGCAGCGACTTCTCCCACGCCCCACACCCCCCCCGTACGGCAGCGACTTCTACAACGCCCTACACCCCCAGTGCCTCTCAGCAGTGCTCTACATCTACCTGGCGACAGTCACCAATGCCATCACCTTCGGGGGCATGCTGGGGGACGCGACCGCCAATATGCAGGTCGGTGCAGCTGCGGGGTGCCCTGCACCAGCCCCACTCGGCCCAGCTCGTGGGTCTCCTGGGTGCCCACCTCACACCGGTGCCCAGGGAGCCAGCGCTGCCCCTGGGACATCCTGAGCATCGCCCGAATCCTGCATCCTTCCCCGGCCTCTGCGGTCACTGAGCACTGACCCTGCACCCTGCAGTGCAGGGAGGTGCGGGCAGCTGCCTGCAGCTGTGCCGCTGCGGGGGACAGGCCTGGGACCCCCGTCCCCACCACATGCCTGGCGCCTGGCACCCCTCCCCTGCATTTCAGGGGGTGCTGGAGAGTTTCCTGGGCACGGCCTTTGCAGGCTCCATCTTCTGCCTCTTTTCCGGCCAGCCCCTGACCATCCTGAGCAGCACCGGCCCTGTGCTGGTCTTCGAGCGCCTCCTCTTCTCCTTCAGCCAGTAAGTACCCTGCCAGGGATGGTTCCTCGGCCACTGTCCCCTGGCCAGGGCATGGGCCACCATCACACCAGGCGGATGTCATTGCTTTGGGTCACTCTTCCCACCAGGGACCACAGCCTGAACTACCTGGAGTTTCGCCTCTGGATTGGGCTCTGGGTGGCCTTTTTTGGTGTGGTCTTGGTGGCCACCGAGGCCAGCCACCTGGCACGGTACTTCACCCGCTTCACCGAGGAAGGCTTCTGCGCCCTCATCAGCTTGATATTCATCTACGACTCCCTGAAGAAGATGCTGAGCCTGGCGGACGCCTTCCCCATCAACTGGCAATACCGGCTGGACAACGTCCCCTCCTACAGCTGCGTCTGCAACTTGTCCAGCCCCGGTGAGCCCAAGCAGCTGCGGGGCTGGTGGGGAGCAGGGGGATGCCACCCTGGGACCCCACTGGGACCCTGCTGCCCAGCAAGATGGGGGAAGGCGCTGGAGGAGGAAGAGGCTGCTCAATCCCATCCTCGCCTGCCCAACCATATCGGCACCTTCCTCCACTCCCCTCCATGCCGTCTGTCCATCTGTCCCTGCCTCCTGGGACAGATGCAGGGGCAGCGCCGGGAGCAAGGAGAACCTTGGTCTGGCTCCTGAGGCTCCAGGATGGGGGATGCCAGGGGCTGGAGGTGGGCACCTTGGTGGGTTTGCGTTGCTGTTTCTAACCCAGTCTGCAAATCAGAGGGTGTTTCCTGGGGCCTGGAGATGTGTCCACACTGATCCTGCAAATGGGACCCACACCGCGTATCAATGTTGGGCACAGCCTGGGGCCAATGGTGCCTCTGAGTGGCTGGTGCTTCAGACAAGCCCTTCATAGGGGTATCTCCCG